TCTGAAGCAAATCCTGACACTCAAGTCCCCTAATTCTGGAGGTAGGGTGTCTGGGAAATAAAAACATACGAGAAAAAGCAAAGCTAGGGATGTAGTTGGCCAGGGGAGGGGGAGGGCAAGGAAGGTAATTAGTAAAGACTTCCCTTCCACTCACTGGCTGAATGGATCATAGTGGCTTTTGTTGTTTTTACCTCAATCCTGTTTCTTCTACAGGATCATACTGTTAATAGGGTCTAGTTAGAAGATGGCTCTCCAACTAGACCCCCCCCTTCCTCCCTTAGAGCAAAACTCTCTATATTTTGGGGAGGTTGGATTCTCCCATAATGCACCAAAAGGACCATAACCCCTCTCCTTTCCCCTCCAAGTTGGCAGGTGCCCCCTCAGAATTACAAAGTCTTGTTTCCAAACTTCTCCATGGGCTTCTCTATGGTGGTCCTGGAAGTTCATATTTCCTTGAGGGTGGAGCCTTCCTTTACATCTAAATAGAAGGCTAAGCTTTCCTCACTTTCCCCAACACCCCAGCTCCCACAGACTTAGCCCCTGAACCTACGCACTCTCCCCCACCAGTCCCTTAAGCCCAGAATCTCAAGATTCCGGCAGCGCCCCAGCTCCCCGATTCTGGGTGAGGCGTTCCTAGGCTAGACCGGCCAACCCTTGGCCCAAGAAGAGGGCCCTTCCCACCTGGGCTCAGTAGGTGGTGCTGAGGTCGGACCCCAAACCTGGGAGATATGGGGTGGTTTGGAAAGCTTTAGACAGTACTTAGTTGAACTTGAAGGGCTGAGTGGAGCAGAGCTGGATAGTGACTGTAGTCAATGTAGTTCTCCCCCCGCCGTCCCACCCCCGCGCCCCTTACTATGGAGGAGAGGAGTTGGGGTGGCGGTTATTCCCCCTCCCACTGGCATTAGGATGGCGTGGGAAAGCGCTAGTTCCAGAGGGGAGGAGGCGAAACCCAGACCGCGGGAGATTTTTCTGCGAGGAAGGCGCGGGGGAGGGGGAGATCCTGGGCCCAGAATAGGAGGGGTACCCAGGAAAGAGGGTGGTGGAGAGGCGTGAGAAGCCTCCGGATTCCGGTCGCAGAGGACTGGAGAAATGGGCGAGTAGACGATGCGGAGGAGAGAAGAAGGGCAGCTCCCGCAGGGGTACGGTCAGATCCTGAATACCTGGGCAGCAGGGATCCCAGAGCAGAGGACCGCAAGAACGGCCCGCCTGGGGACTACAGGGCTGGAAGTGGGTGCCAGGCCTCACCTGGAGCAGGGCAGGGCCGGGCCTCGGGCGGCGGCGGCAGCGGCGGCGCAGGTGGCCGAGCCGGGCGGCGGCGGTGCCTCCTCCCCCAGCCCTGGGCCGGCGGCGGCGGAGAGGGGGAGGTGGCGCTTAAAGGGGCAGGAGCTACTGGGGTGACGACGAGCGCAAGGGGAGGGCTGTCGCGAAGGATCCACTGGGGGAGGGGGAAGCGGGTGGCGTCTCCTAGGGGCCAGAACCAGGAAGGATCCCAGTTGGAGGAAGAGAACAGATCCCAGGAAGAGACAGAAACTTCTGCGGCGAAGTGGGGGATGGTGGTAGGTCCGAACGGAAGGACTTGGGAGAGCTCTGCCCGCGCTCCCGGGGCACCAGCAAAGACATCTTCACAAAGGAGGCCGGGAAGGCAGTGAGAGCCACAAGGACTCCAAGGAAGCCTGAGAGTGTGGGAGAGAGAACTCAAAGCCGAGCATGCTGGGGGTCACGCACAGTGCCCTACTAGGTGAACAGGTTCCCCGTGTTTCAGCTCCTCAGGGCCCCATCTCTACAGCTGTGGAGCCTCTGGAATCAGGAAGCCATGAGGGCAAAACCTCCTACCTCTCAACCTTAATCCTGCCTCTCACTCAGTGTCCTCAGTGACTTGGTGGGAGAGCCATCAATAATAGCCCTAGCGAGGCTGATGTGGGACCGTGAGAATTGGCTTTATTCTAGCCCAGTTTTCCCTCAACCCCCACCACCCTTGCATCAACCTCAGGGGCAACAGGAAACAGCTGCTCAGTGCAGCCCCCACCTGATGGTGGGTCAGGGTTGGGGAGGAGAAAAGACTGGGACTAAAAGCCCTGAGAGAAATAAGGGGGAGAGGAGGCACTTTAAAGACCCCCAGCATGATCCAAAAGTGGGCTTTACTTTTGTGGAGGCTAGCAGTGAGTACTGTCAAATATTTCTTGAATCTCAGCAGCTTAAATGGGGGAGGAATAATACTCCACTGGGGCGCGGGGAAGGGGGGTTGGGAAAGCCCTGGCCTAAGGTACAATCTCGGGCTCTTCCGTAGAGCTGGAGCTTGCTAATGTTCAGGACCCCGTGGTCGGCGCCGCGCCAGCTGAGCCCTATAACACCCGCCCCTCACAGTCCTGTTTCCCCTCCTTCACCCCCTAAATGAGCAAAGGTTAGGCCCCACCCCTGCTGAGTCAGCCAGGGAGGGAGTTAGGCATCCCTCAGGCCTTCCCCGGGGCTGGTCCCCATACTCACCCATGTCTGGCTGGCAGGGCTCCAGGCTGGGACCACCCAGCTCCTCGCTGTCCTTGGGCCCCCCTTCACGTGGAGGCTGGTGTTTGATCCTCCAAAGTGTGAGCTGGGAAAGAGCAAGAATCAAAAAGCCAATGTATGCTTCCTGCGAACCACACAGCCTGAACTGCTGTAGGGTGATGTCCCTGTGTGACAGACTGGGGTGGGGAGGGAGGAGGGAAGGGCGGGGCTTTCTCTGGGTGGAGAGAGGGAGGAGGTGAGGACAGGGCAGAGCTGGAGAAATATGGAGGAAGGTTAGAACTGTGTTGACACTCCAGTGGCGTGGTCGAAGAGGGCGGTAAAGGAGGAAGGAAATAGTTGCAACTAGTGAGAGGGAGAAGATTCTCGATAAATGCTGAAGGTCGTGAACGTGTTGGGGGAAGGGGTGGAGGGATGCAAACGACCTTTAGGACTTCAGTTCCCAGGTTTACATCAGAGTGACGTGGGAAAACAAAGCAGAAAGGGCTGACCTATTCCCTGGAGGCTTCTCCACCAGCTTCCTACTCACTCCAGAGTCAGGACCTAGAGGAAGTGCCCCACCCCCATAACTCAGTATTTCCCCCAAATCCAAGCTTCTCTGGGAGCAAACTACCAGGCACAAGCAGCTCAGGGGCTCCACCTTCTGTCCAGATCATGACACAGGAGAGACTAGTGCCAAAAACGTCACAGGCAGATGAGAGGAAGCTTAGAGGCCCCTACTCCACCCCTGGCGCCTCTCCTAAAGCCCCTCCCCAACCTCCAACCCCCAGGGGCCTCTGAATTGGGAGCTCCGCTTGTCCCCGCCCAGTTTATACCCAATTGATAGCCTCAGGGGGTGGGGCTTAAAGACACAGGCTCCTCCCCAGGACAAAAGCCCCAGCTGGTTTGTAAACAGTCATTAGCAGAGAACATCCCAGCAAATGGCCTTCAAGGATTTCAAAATGGTGAGATCAGAGTTCTTGCAGCGTCTCCAGTGCTACCACGAGAGGGCAGTAGGATGGGTCTGAATCCAGAAAAGGACACTTAAGGGGCATCAAATTTGACCTTACACACTTTTAAACGGAAATGGTGAGTAGCTCTCCCAACAATACACCTTTTGGTGAGTTCAAGTAAAGGGGAAACGATCTAATTCCATCATTTAGTTCAGAAGGCTAAGCCAGCAGCCCTAAAGATTACTATTTTTCTGTAACGGATTCTCTTTCCTGAACTTTCATAATGGATACTAACAGAGCTCAGCTTAGGCCTCATCCTTAATACCTTTGAATAGCCTCAGTGAATAACAAACGTTGAATTTAGGTTTGCCCCAAATATGGCAGGAGGCAGTAGTCAGGAACACTATGAAGGCCTAACCAAAATGCAAAGAGCCCTTGACTCAATTTTAACAAAGATCAGTACTCATCATTTCCTGAAAATTTAATTCAACTCACTGATTAACCCCTGCCTTGCCTTGAAGTAGATTATTTCTAAAACCAACCTAATGGCCAGGTGTGGTAGATCACACCTGTAATCCTAGCACTCTGGGAGGCTGAAGTGGGAGGATTGCTTAGGCTCAGGAATTCAAGACCAGCCTGAGCAAGATCAAGACCAGCGCCGGGTGCGGTGGCTCATGCCTGTAATCCTAGCCCTCTGGGAGGCCAAGGCAGGCGGATTGCTTGAGGTCAGGAGTTCGAAACCAGCCTGAACAAGAGCGAGACGCCGTCTCTAAATAGAAAGAAGTTAATTGGCCAACTAATATATATATATAGAAACAATTAGATGGGCATGGTGATGCATTCCTGTAGTCCCAGCTACTTGTGAGCCTGAGGCAGGAGGATCGCTTGAGCCCAGGAGCTTGAGGTTGCTGTGAGCTAGGCTGATGCCACGGCACTCACTCTAGCCTGGGCAACAAAGTGAGACTCTGTCTCAAAAAAAACAACAACAAAAAAACAAGACCCTGTCTCTACTAACAATAGAAATTAGCTGGACAACTAAAAACATAGAAAAACTGAGCCAGGCAAGGTGGCACATGCCTGTAGCCCCAGCTACTGGGGAGGTTGAGGTAGTAGGATTGCTTGAGCCCAGGAGTTTGAGGTTGCTATGAGCTAGGTGACACCATGGTACTCTAGCCCAGACAACAGAGTGATTGTCTCTAAATAAGCAAAACCTATTTTTTCAAATATGCCCTTCTAAAAAAGGCCTACTTGGTTAAAAGTAGGAACATGCTATATGGATATTTAAGAGGCAAAAAAAATCAATGTGCTCTGAACAAATGTCATAAAAGGGCCAAAGCTGAGGCCCTAGTAAGATTACACTACCTACAGAAAACCCCTCACCAAGATGCACAGTTCATCAATCCAAGAGAATGGCTATTCTTTTTCAATGACCCAATTTCAAACATACACGACCTATTTTGTGCTAAAATGGCTTCTTGTGGCCACTCTAAAATTCTCATTGTCAAAAATTTCAGTGTTAAAAAAAAAACAAAGAACAACTCAGTGTTAACTGAGCCGAGAACAGACAAATTCCGAGGGGTGTACATTTTATTGGAAACCTTAAATACTCTTCAGACAGAACAAAATGTCTTCAATCAAGGCTCTTGTGTGGCCTACACAGAAAACTGAAGGTTTTTGGATTGGGACAAGGAGAGGGACAACAGGATGATTGCTTAGTTTGCCAAAAAGACCCCTCACGATGATGCTCTTCAGCCAACTTAACAGCTTTTGCCACAGCTTCTTCAATGGGTCCCACCATATAGAAGGCTGTTCTGGAGATGATCATATTCACCTATATGGGAAAAAAAGATCCAACTAGTTAGTAAAGAGAAGGACATCAACTTTCTGCTGTGTGTACGTACCTCACCACTTCTGACCACCAGTCAGAAAGTGATGAATTCATATCATCTGAGAAACCTTAAATTTCCTCACAAATCAAAGTTACACACACAATACAGTATGGATTAGAACACGTGGTCAAGACGGCGTGGTGGCTCAGGCCTGTAATCCTAGAACTATGGAGGGCCTGAGAGGAAGGATTGCTCAAGGTCAGGAGTTCAAGACCAGCCTAAGCAAGAAGAGTGAGACCCATCTCTACAAAAATAGAAAGAAATTAATTGGCCATACTAAAAGTATATAGAAAAATTAAGCTGGGCATGGTGGCGCATGCTTGTAGTCCCAACTACTCAGAAGGCTAAGGCAGAAGGATGCTTGAGCCCAGGAGTTTGAGTTTCTGTGAGCTAGCCTGCTGCCATGGCACTCAAGTCCAGGCAACAGAGCAACTGTCTCAAAACAAAAAAAACACACATGGTCAAGAGCCATACATCTGAGTTCATATTATTTTATTTTATTACCCTCTACTTGGGCGACATTGGGAAAGTTCGTGTTAAACTTAATTTTTTTTTTTGAGACAGAGTCTCGCTTTGTTGCCCAGGCGCCACCATGCCTGCTAATTTTTTCTATATATATTAGTGGCCAATTAATTTCTTTCTATTTAATAGTAGAGACGAGGTCTCGCTGTTGCTCAGGCTGGTTTCGAACTCCTGACCTCGAGCAATCTGCCCGCCTCAAGCCTCCCAGAGTGCTAGTATTACAGGCGTGAGCCACCACGCCTGGCCTATGTTAAACTTTTCTATGCTCCAGTTTCACCTGTAAAACAGGATAACCAACGCTTTCCTAAAAGCTGGTTGTAATTCATTTAGAAGGTAGTTAGCACTGAAAACAGTGAGTGTTGGATTATGTATAGGGGCCTGGAAAACATCTAAGTCACATTCTCAAGTACATGTATTTTCAAATAAATTTGATGGAAAAATAAATGCTTATTCAATAAATCAATTAAATGGCACACGCCTGTAATCCGTGTACACTGGGGAGGCCGAGGCGGTGGATTGTCGATCGAGGATTCAAAACCAGCCTGAGCAAGAGCGAGACCCATCTCTACTATAAATAGAAGAAATTAATTGACAACTATAATACAAAATTAGCGGGCATGGTGCGTCATGCCTGTAGTCCACAACTCGGAGGCTGAGACAGAAGGACGCTAAGCCCAGAGTTAGGTTGCGTGAGACGAGGCATACCCACGGCACTCCACTCTAGCCTAGGCAACAAGCGAGACTCTGTCTCAAAAAAAAAAAAAAAACATAACTGAGGAGCTGGGTGTGGTGGCTCACGCCTATAATCCTAGCACTCTGGGAGGCCAGGGCAGGCGGACTGCTTGAGGTCAGGAGTCTGAAACCAGCCTGAGAAAGACCGAGACCCCGTCTCTACTATAAAAATAGAAATTAATTGGCCAACTAATATATATAGAAAAAATCATCCAGGCATGGTGGTGCATGCCTGTAGTCCCAGCTACTCGGGAGGCTGAGGCAGTAGGATTGCTTGAGCCCAGGGGTTTGAGGTTGCTGTGAGCTAGGCTGATGCTACGGCACTCACTCTAGCCTGGGCAACAAAGCGAGACTCTGTCCAAAAAAAAAACAAACAACAAAAAACTGGTCACAGTACATATCACACATTGCTTGATGGCTGTTGGACTGGGACCACAGCACAGTGAGCATTCAAGATTTCAGTTTTTCTATCATTTTATGTTCAGCTTTACACTTAAAACCTCACCTGCCAAAATCTGCTGGAATCCTTTGATAGTTTCCTTCAGTGGTACCAGCTTCCCCATATGACCTGTAAGACCTTCAGTAAAGCAGAATTTTCCTGCAGAGACTACTTAAAATGCTGATATGTTTTGATTATTAAAATCACACAGTGCAGTTTTTCTTCAAGAAATTAAGGATGCAGAAGTTCTGACTGACGAAAACCTACTACTTAGGATTGCAGTTGAGTATTTAAGGCTTACACATATGGTTTAGGTTGAGGACTCTATAAAACGTGCAAGTCTGTTTCTTATTGGTATGTGAAGGAATGCTGTTAGGGTCAGGGCTTCAGTAAATGAAAAACATGACAGTTAAAGTTGTGAGGGAATGGTATTGGTTCTTGAGATAACAAAGTCTTTATTGCACACAGTTGGGTTAAATGCCAGATTACAATTTACCTAACTTAATATAACAAAGGGGAGATGAGACTGGATTCTCTAGTAAAGAGTTGGACTTGAGAGTTGATAGAGACATTTAAGGCTATCAGTTGCTTTTTTTTTTTCCTCCCCCCCCATCAGTGCTTTCAAAAGGTTAATAGATGTAATCCTCTCTTCTGCCTTTACAGATTTGCTGCTATTCATGCTGAGGCTCCCGAATTTATGGAAATGAGTGTCGAACAGGAAATTCTGGTAACTGGTATCAAGGTTGTGGATCTGCTAGCTCCTATGCCAAGGGTGGCAAAATTGGGTAGGTTGAGTGAGTGGGTACAAATTTGCCCCCTGGCATAGGGAGCTTAGCAGGATCCACAAACCTGATACCAGTTACCAGGAATTTCCTGTTTCGACACTCATTTCCATTAAATTCGGGAGCCTCGCATGAATAGCAGCAAATGCTTAAAGGCGAAGCAGAGGATTACATCTATTAACCTTTTGAAAAGCACTGATGGGGGGTTTGGGGGAGAGGAAAAAAAAAAAACCAGACTTGATAGGCTTAAATGTCTCTAGGTCAACTCTCAAGTCCCATACTCTTTACTAGAGAATTCCAGTCTCATCTCCCCTTTGGTTCATATTAAGTTATACGGTAAATTGTAATTGGCATTTAACCCAACTGGTGTGCAAAAACTTTGTAGTTTCAAGAACCAAAATAATACCATTCCCTCAGCATACTTTTTAACTGTCCTGTTTGTTCATTTTACTGAGCCTTAACCTAACGAGCATTCCCTTCCATACCCAATAAGAGAACCAGGACTTGCACGTTTTATAGAGTCCTCAACCTAACCAGTATGTGTAAGCCTTAATATA